TATCATTATAAGCTCTCAAACTATACTTCGTTTGCACGGACTAACAGTCTCCAGAGGCTCCCGTGACTGTCAACTGTATTGCAGTAAAGAACCCCACCCCATTTGGAGTTTCGCAGCCAAAGCCGATGTCATTCTACAAGCATCTCTGACCGCTGCAGAGAGCCTGGATCACTTCCACTTCTAACATGGCGAAGAGGAGAGGGTTAGGCACCAACAGAAGCATAATGGATTTCTTTATGACTGTGGCTGCAAGCGCCTTTTATTACTGTGAGGGCAGCAGGCAGCTGTAACATTTTAAAGAGACAGTTCACCCAAAACTACATGTTTTTCTCTTACCTATTTGTGCTATTGATCAATCCAAATGGTTTTAGTGTCAGTTGCCAGATGAATGAGATATTGCCTGTTGAGACGACGGCCTTCTCTGTTATTTAGGCCTACTGGTGATAGATAGCCCTCTCAATGATAAATTGATAAATAACCAGGGTCATGATACCTGCAGGTATCATGACCCTGTTTATTTAGATAATCCAGAGACCTTGGTCTGAGCAGTTTTATAAAGGAACTATTTTCTTCCTACAGTAGCCCCGCAAGAGATACTCATTCCTGAAAGTGCTGATATCTCCAACTCTTGGAAACGTACACTAAAACATTCAAGATTGATAATTATCACTACAGGTAAGCAGTGGCGGCGTTAGGGGGTGGCTACTTGGAATAAAGCCCCGGATGTTTTCTGAAAAGCCCCGGATGTTTAAAAAAAAAAGTTTAAACATCTTTTTTTGTTGAAAACGTCTCGGGAGTAATGTGCAGTACCGGAGTCCACCAGAGAGGCAGCCGCTGCGGGACAATAGCCTGCGTACTGCGTAGATAATTCCTGCCCTGAAGAAGAAGTGATCCTTCTTAGTGCCTGACGAGTTTTAAGCTAATAGCCTATAAAGTTATGGATATTAGAAAGTTATTTTCATCGAAGCAGGCGCCACAAGCTACAGCAGCAGCAGTATCAGCAGCTGACAACAATGTCATCACCAGCAGTGAAGACATGGATGATGTTTCAGGTTTGTGAATCTAATGGTGATATCTGCACTCTGGCTGACTGAGTAAGAAGTGAAAGAGAGTGATGTAACGTTAATGTTATAGTAAACATGCTCGCCGTCGGAGTGAATGATTGAAATGTGGCGAATTTGCGTCTGTCTGCGTCTCTGCATTGACTTTACATGTAATCGCGCCGCCCCCAAACATCGCATCGCGTCCGGTCTGAACGCAGCATTACACTCTTTACGTCATAAACAAAGATGGTGGATGAGAAAAGATCTATAAAACGATAAGCATTGCGCCAGAATCAAGGTGAGACTATCCGCATCCTTTAAAACTCTACACACATTCGTTTCACCAAAATAAGTAAACGACTGTATTTGAGTGAGTTAAGGCATTAGTTTGCTTCATTAAAGGGTGTTAATGAATAAGTGTTCTCCAGTGCCTTTTGTCCGCTTTAAGGTGTTATTAAGGTAGGGTTAATGTTGCTCTCAAAGTGCACCAGATTGATGCTTTTAACTTCAATATTTAAAAAAAAAATCTTCCCGGGGAGCATGTCCCCGGACCCCCCTAGAGGAGACGACGACGCCTCTAAAGGATGTTCGCTCCACCCCTCGCTTGTAAAAAATAGCACTTTTTGGCGTGAACTGTCCCTTTTAAGGCACACGTGTCAAACTCAAGGCCCGGGGGCCAAATCAGGCCCTTGGTGGATTTAATTTCGGCCCGCAGGATAATTTCTAATTACTATTAGACCTGGCCCACCGGTATATTGCAATGCACGCACACCTTCACTCAATCCTGAGGGTTTCCTCAGCTCAGAGCATNATACCCAAATTCTTAAAAAGGGCTGCAAGGATTTATACAGACTGATCCAGATTTGAACACTTCTATGGACGTCACAGAAGTGCGCCTACAACTATGAAGGGCCAACTCCACCAATCAGGAGGAGACAGCCACGGACATTGCTGTTCGAAAGCGCTGGAGACGCTGTAGTACATATGCCAGGCCTGTAGATGGTGCTGTTCTCACAGAATCAGCCCATGAAAAGACGGTGTTAAATTGAGCGAAATGAGGAATGGCTAAAATGCATGATCTGTTTGGTATTTTGAAAAATAAAAAGTATAAATATGCCTTATATAGGTATGGTCCTACACTATATTATTCAAATATAGCATGATAGGTCCACTTTAAATGACAAACCATAAGCAGCATTTAGGCTATTTAAAACATCTGCATTACCATCATGAGTTAGTTCTATTAATCTTTTAAGCTGTTTAGTCAAACTCAGGTTTACCCTTTCCCTTTAGCTACAAATGAACCCAACATCCTGTATGATCATAAGCAAGGTAAACCAGAATGTGTACAGTTCCCTAATGAGCAATTATTCACTTACCTCAGTAAGCTGGAAGATTTCAGGATGCACCTCAGGGTCTGCCTTTATGGGGATTCCTCCTGTGTCAGTACTCGGTCCACTGTTCTTCATCCTACCCGCTCCTGTGCTATGAATGCACCCCATATTTCCAGCAGATACCTTGTTTAGCTCCTTTTTATTTGTTTAAGTCTCCTAAACGTTCTTTTTCTAGTGCTTTGCTCCAGAAGGCCCCCTTTTTTCTTCTCCTATTCTCAGTGCTTCATATTTTAGACGGGCGTCCTTATGTTTCTGCGACAGCTAAGGTCTTTCTCTCCCAACATGCTTATTCTTCCCTAGCGACTCCTCACACCTCAGCCCTTCTCTCTGACAGCTTGTCCTGCCTTGAAATCCACTCCAGATGACTTTTTTCCCTTCCCCTCTCTTCTTACAACCCCTCTTTCACCCTTCCAAAAAGTGTCACCATGCACAGACCCTCCACTCTTTCCCCACACCTCTCCTCTTACAGTCTTCCCTGTCCCTTGCTCCCTGGCTATCCTCACTATGAAAAGCATGCAAGCACACACTCTCCCCCTCTCTGTTCCCTTCCCCCTTTCCACTTGCCAAAACCTCCGTCTCTTCTCCTGTACAGACCCTCAAATGTTTCACATAAGGCTCTCCTGCTCCACACTTACAGACCCTCAAGTCTTCCTCTCTCTCTCTCTCTCTTGCTGCATCAGGCTTCTCTTGCTGTTTCTCCATGGGGGAGAAGGGGGCAGCTGTTTTGGCTTGTTGATGTCAGGCCCTTCCCCTTTCCTTTGGCTTGACTTCAGCCCCTCTCACTCTCCTCTTCCTCATGGGGGAGTGATTAGATAGAACTTCTTTCACACACGTCATCCCTCTAGACTCTGTAACTTTGCACATGAGAACATACTGTAGTGAGTTGATCCCACTTCTACTTCCTGTCAGCCTGATGTGAGGAAGTGAAGGATTTTGACTGCTGGCCTGGGTTTTAAGTAAGAACAGCATCTTGCAGTTTGACAGGACACCAATATTACAGTAATGTCCTCTTTTATTCTCTCAGTGGCTCTCCGCTGAAATGAAAAACAATGATAGGCTCTGTGCTTAACTCTGAGATCTGCTTCTGAAGTCGTTAAATTCCTTCAGCTCTCTGTAACACACACATAGATATTTCCCCAAACAACATTCTCTAGACAAAATGCTCCTTCAAGCAGGGGCTTTAGGGTTGTGAGGGGAAAATCTCCAACAATAAGCTCTTTCTAAAACCATGATGTTGGCCTCCAGTTAGACCATACAAAGCGGCCCTTAGTTTAAAGCGAGACAAATCTGTAACTGAGCTAAATTAGGCGACAAGACCATCAAGTGCACAAGTACATCTGCACAGATCCATCAGCATAGTTGACCACCAAAAAGATGGGGGAAAATTGCACTCGATACATCATCTGGGGACCTGAATGACGCAAACACGAGTCATGTTGTGGGTTGAAGTAGAGGGAAAGACCCTCCTGTGTGGACCAGCTGTTAATTCACGTGGCAACAGGGGGGGGTTATGGTTGTTGGGGGTGACTAGGGTGCACAAACACGCTAGTTCAAACTCTAAGATTAAGAAGTATTGAGGTCTCTATTAAAGTGAGACACAACACTACAGGCAGAAACATTGTTTTTTCCTGCACTTGTCAATCATTTTAATTTTGGATACCTTCCAAAAGACAAATGCAGGTGGTTTTTTAAAAATAACTTTCTCTATTAGGGTTTGTATATTTATCACATTTTCACCCAAAAATCGCTTTAGATAATGGTAGATTGGCACATTTCAGAAAACTGAAACAATTGTCCTAAAGTAATCAACTGCACAGGTTTCATAGTGATATTTATTAGTAGTTTTAACCTATTCATTGGTGGTGTAGCAACACATCGATGCATTACTATGTAAGATAGATGAGAACTTCAATGTCAAATGTTACCGTTACAGCATTACCTACACAAAAGGGGAGCATCATTTAAAAAATAGACATTGTCACTGAATTGACTAAATAAATGGGACAATTCCCTAACTTGACATCGATCTAAGCGAGATGCAGATAAGAAATAAGCAGAAGCCTTAAGACAATTGTCCAGCATCTTTCTCTCACACTTCATGCCCTATAAATGAATGTTCTCTGTGACTATAAACAGACACTATTTAGTTAGAAACTGTGAAAAAAGAAGCAGAGCTCTCTGGTAGGCCATCGGTGAGCTTCAGCAGACACAAAATCCTTCAGTGTCCGTGCGGCTCAGCAGGATCCTGACCAGCTGCCACCAGGAGACCGGCCCTCAGCAGGGGGTCACGACTGAAGAAATACTGTGGAACTGTTGTTTCTCGCAGACCACACCGGGAGAACAGTAAGCAATGGGGAAAACACTTTGTGGCTCATAAAAAGATTTGTTTGATGATGCAATTCGCCATTCTGCGACTGACAACTTTTTCTTTTTTTTTAAATGACTGTCACTATAGTGTGTGTGGCCTTACACACTTATATACACTCTAAATGACTTGAAACAAGCACAGTCAGCTCAAATCCCTCCACTGATGCATACAAAAAATGACCACATACTATATGAATGCACATAATGACCCCAATTTATTGCAAATTGGATGACAGGTTCATGTAATCTTGTGGAAGTACTCACATCCTGCTAAAGGCAACTCCAGACTTCGCCTAAATATTTGTATTCCTCACTTCAGGAAGAGTGAATGATTGAGACAGCTGTGGAGAATCTTTATGACAGCTGGAAACGTGCATTACAAGCCTTTAACTGATGTTATTGTTTCATCATGTGTGTAGTAATAGAGACATCAGTACAATGATTGGGGATAATAGCAGTAGGACTTAATTGGTTCTTCAGCCATTTTCTTTCAACATACAAGTCATCATCAATACCATCACTCAGTTTAGCATCAATTCAACATTTTGTTGCTGGCCTTTTCTTTTTTAATTACTAGTAACCAGCATCAACAATCATGTCAGAGTATTCTTCATCAAGTTTCATAAAAAAAAGAATCAATAGATTTGTAATAACCGACTTAATTATGAATAAAAAGGGCTTATAATTAATAGTTCTGCATTCATGTTGGGCATTACCGAGATAGATAGGTCAAAAGTTGATTAGAATGAATAAAATCAGATTGGTAAACTGTATCTCCGGTCATATCATCCAACATCCCCCCCACTGTAGATCCACAAATATACAAATTCATTTTTTCCCCACTTTTTCCATTTATTTATTACAATTAATTCATGGTCATCCATCACTTTTCAATGTGTCAGCTACTCCTTTTTTCCCATTTAAAACAAGTCCAGTATGTGACTATTCTTAAGAAGCTGAATAGTCCTGAAGGCGGGGCGGGGGAGGGAGGATGGGGGGGTATTTTTAAAGTAAAGGACAGGTTTGTAGGAGGAAAGGAAGGAGGGAGTGATGTCCTCCCGGGAGCCTCTTCCACGTGAGGAGTTTTTTTCGTAAGCTATGTGAGATTTTTTTTCTTCCAGCGGTTGTCTTTTTTCTCCTCGTATTGCGCTGTCGGGCCTCTTCTCGTTATTTTCTCTCTATTCTACGTCCTCTGCGTCGTCTCCGTCCATTAGCAGAGCGGCGTACTTACTCGCTGAGCTGAACTTCTACAAAGGCAAAACAAAAAAGAACCTGGATCAGTACAGTAAGCGTCGGATGTTAGAAAAAGAAAGGAGGATGAAAACATATTAGGGACAAGGTTTCAAACCTATAAATGTGCGGGGGAGCACTGATACAACTACTGAAGGCTTTAAGGGGAACTCTAATGAAACTTATTTGAGGGGATGTCAGACTGGACTAATCCTGGGCAGTGAAGGACTTACAGGGGTTGGGGTTTCGTGGAATTTCTTTGGCTCTGGGGGTGGTCTGGAGTCTCGGTCTCTTCTGATATCCTTTCTACAATAAGAGCGAACACTGAGGTTAAGATCTATCGGTGGACCTCAGTGCTGCAAAGTTGACTCTTGCTGTGAATCCTCAAAAACACACACACACACAACTAAAAAGGAGCACAAATTCATTATCTGAAAATGTACATCTACAAGCTGATTGGTGTGCACAGTTTATATTTACTTATATTTAGAAGAAAAGCTTCACAATACAGTTCTGAGTTTCATGTCCAATTGATGTTGTACTGAAGTTTTAGCACTCAAACTGATAGAAGTAAAGGTAAAGCATTAAATAGCACTGCACAAGTCCTTGTAACAATGAATGAGCTGTGTAACTGAGCAAAGGCCATTCTTTACAGATGCCCACTAACTCTCCTCCTGGAGAGCCTAGCTTAGGGTGGCTGACCTGTCTGCCTCCTTTCTTCGGTCTCTGTTGGGACCTTCTCCTCGGTCCCGCCCTGCTCCATGCCCTGCAGAACCCCCTCGTGCTCGTGGGGGCCCCCGGTCACGACGCATAACGTCAGCCTTGTTCTCATCTTAAAGAAGCCAGACAGTTGAGTGAAGGAAGGGAGGTTGTTGGACTTTGTAAAGGAGACTACACTCACAACACACTGCAGCATGAAAAGCCTCTGGGTTGGATTCGAAAAGTGTTAGTCACTGATGCCGGGCCAAATGAGGGTTCACATCTGCCTGCATGCAAGCTGAGCTTAAACAATGCAACTCATCTAATTTCATGTTAAATTGGCTTTAATGTTGTATTCTTAGACAGCACTGTTTCCACATTTGGCCAGCTTGCTGAGTCTGAACCTAAAACATACATTTATAACATTTAAGTCAGAATTGTGGTGCATGCGCATATTATTCTGCAACAAGGCAGACTAATCGAGACATGTCAGTGCTCCCCTTGTAATGAATTCAGTCTCTGCAGAAAGATGAGGGAGAGATGTTTTCTTTCCAGTACGATGCAGAAACAAAGTGTGAAAAGAAGGAATAACAGCTGTTCTTGCCTCGATGAAAAACACTGGATCTTCATATTATGGCTGCTCGATTATGGCAAAAATCATAATCTCGATTATTTGGGTCAATAATTGATATCACAATTATTAAAAAACGATTATCCATTTACTTTGAAAACATAATTTTTTGTAACAGTATGTTTTTAACAG